GCCTGTGACTCATAATAGACAACCATATGCATTTCCTGGCAATGCATACCAGACATATTTTACTGCCAATTATATGGGATACTCTGTTGAATACAGATTAATTTGTCTAGATTATTGTTTTTTTTTTTTTTTTCAGAACTTTATAGTTTTTACATCAAAAGCTTGGTTTTTTTTTTTATTACACAAAAAATGGTTTACAGCTATAAGAATGTTTTGTACTTATTATATTCTAGTTCAGAGAGCCGAATAAAGCAGCATCCAATCATTCCTTGACTATTCCAACATATTTAACAAATAAAGTTGTGATTTAAAGTATGGCTACGCCCGTTTTGTCTTATTTTCTCTTATTACATCACCCAGACTCATCTAGCAGGAAGACTTCGTCCAGAAGTTCTAGGGAATATCCCATGGTGCTTTGCAGCAAACTTTACAAGACTGTAATCAGAGCTGCATTTATATTCTGTACGTCTGCCAGTAATGTACTCTTGTTGCTGATTCATCTTTGAAAAGAATCACCTGCTGGACAGTTGGGGGGTTTCCTTCACTGCAAAATGTGTTCTTATCAACCAATGGGCAATGTAATGCCTTTCATTTTTGCCACTATTAAATATTCTAATATTTTAGGTGTTTTCCTCTTAGAAAAGTTTTAGTTGAAAATAAATAAGTAAATACATACATACATACAAAAATGCTAGAAATAAATGACATACTAGAAGAAGAAAAAATGTTTTATGGAATGATAAAACATTTATGGAATGTTTACTACCATTTTTTAAAGCTTTTTTGAGCTTACAGTTGGATACTTAGTGTGAAAGTGCTAGTTTTGCAAGTGACAGGTCACTGGATGGCTTACATTTTAGAATATCTGAAATGGAAAATGGAGACATTTCCTAGTTCAGTGGTCAAAATATAATTGAAATCTCACTTGTTATTATCTATGAATAAAAATAAAAAATGGGAACAGTACATTTTTCTATGTTTTTGATTTTTAATTGTTGTGGTTCCATATACTATTATTTAAATTAATAATTATTATGATGTTTGCGATTCAAACTGACACTAACTGATTTTAATACAATTCAATAAAATGTAATACAATAGTAACCATTGCAAATAGCAAAATTATGACTTTAAAAACATATAACAAAAATAAAAAAAATAATTATGAGAACATCAATAAAAACAATAATACAACTGTAACAAGTTTGCTAGGTGTTTTGAACGTGCTGTAAAGCATTCAAAGCAGTCAGACACAGGACACCAAAAAATGGGGGCGTCTGATCCCCCTACTGTAGAATTCTCTAGCATCTTAAAATGCTTATTAAGTTTTTAAGTGCTCATTTGCCATATGTTGCATGCATTCAACCAAACGGTGTCATCCACCTGAATTCAAATTTCAAGTTTGGGTTTATTAGTTATTCTAATCATACACAAGCACACAGTGAAAGATAATAACATTACTTCAGCCCCACAGGGAAATTAATTTAGAGACACTGAGGTAGACACGAACAGAAGACACATATCCAATACATAAATATAATTTTTGTGCAGCACGGTGGAATAAAAAGTAGGTACTGTCATCTTAATTTTGCAGTTGTACCTTTCAGTGCTTAGATAAATCAAGATGACATATCTATGGCGAACTGGAGTACTACCACAAGTGGGCTGTGTATAAATTCCATTTCAAACAAACACAATTTGTAAGCTAACAAACATAATTGCTACATCTAAACAAATGGAGAATCCTGTGAAGTTGTGATGAAATGTGCCGCATACTGAATATCATTGAATCTCAAGCAATGATTCTGGCAGACCCCAGCGGACATCATCAAACTAACTGTGGTATAGATGAGCGACAGCAGCCTTCAAGCTCTAATCAGTTTGTTCAGCTGCTCACATGCCAAATGTATTTAGCCCAACTCCAGTCTCAGATTTAGATCCCAATATTAAAACTGAAAACTTCTCTGTAACGACGTAAAGGCTTTTACAGAAATGAAAAACAGCAGAAATGCAAAATGTTGTACTCCACAGCTCACTGATACTCATAAGGCAGGCAGTGAAGTTCCAAATACCTTACCAAAAAGGCCCTTCTAGGTTGACTGTTGATGTCTGAAACTCTAGTCCTGCTATTTGGGTGGCCGACGTTTGGCCTTTGGAACCACTAGGACTATATCACGAGGGGCTGGTGGATGTCCTAATTCTTCTGATGTTTATGGCTTTGTACAGCCAGCTGGGTGGCCAGCCAGCATCCACTTAAAATGCTTCATTCATCTGGTTTTAAGAAGTGTTCTGAGTGTCTTCTTGATGAAGAAACCTGAAGCACTTTGAAGGCTTGCTTTCAGTAGTCGTACTCTCTCGGGTGCTTTGCAGCAACTTTATTTGATCTCTGAACCTTCTAAACATTCTCTCACAGCACATTTACCCCCACACATTTTCAAGATTAGTATATATGTCCAAATATATATATTTTTTTCAAGTTCACCTTCTAAAAGGTGTTTTATTTATGTGTATGTATATATGTGTATATATATATATATATATATATATATATGTGTGTGTGTATATGTATATGTGTGTGTATGTGTATGTATATATATATATATATATATATATAGTTAATCAATATCACAAGAAGAGTGCTGTTTCCTCCAAAAATCAGCATGATTACAAATGTGATATTGATTTTTACAACTGTTCAATAAAAAAAGAAGTTAATATTAAGAGACTTACGTTTTAGACACTATATTGCCTGTTTTTGCTCTATTTCGATAACAAAAATAATTCCAAGCACAGTCACAGCGCTGTTTTGCCTCTCTGAGCAACATGAGGGCATTCCTTCCTGAATGAATCATTTGTTAAATGATTCGGTTCAATCGCATCTGTTAATATATAATTTGTAGTTGTGGTGCTCCTAAATTTTTGGTGAGTGCTCCTACATTTTTGCTGGTGCTCCTAACTTTTTGAAGTTGGGAGCACCAGTGCTACCAAGTAAAAAAGTTAATTTCGAGCCCTGATATATATATATGTATGTGTGTATATGTATATATGTGTGTATATATATGTGTATATGTGTGTATATATATATATATATGTGTGTGTCCTCATTTGTAAGTCGCTTTGGATAAAAGCGTCTGCTAAATGACTAAATAAATAAATGAATAAAAAGTCTTCAACTTTTGTCAGTGTATATCAGCCCTATTGTTTACAGATCCTGCTATTTTTTTGTCTGGGGACATGATGCAAGAAAAGACTTTATGCTACGTCACTTGAGACACACGCTGAGGAGCTGTAGTTGAGGATGTAGTTATAGTGGCAATATGCCCTCATCAGACCACCTAGAATGGCATGGAACATCTGAGTCAGTGGCACGTTTTGTTGGCAGTCACACCATTAACTAGAAAAAATGCCTGCAAATTCTCTGTCTGGTAAGGGCTGCATCTCCATTTTCAAAGCCCTGCTAGACCAGCAGTGCAGGACCAGGTTTTGCAAACAAACTTAGGGAGTCCCCCAGGGCCTGTTCTCTCTATATAATTTGTACTTGTTTCAGATGTGAAGGAGATTGTCTCCATAAACTGAACCATTTACATAGTGATATTTCCCTGCACAATGACTGCTAATGGACATCAGCAATAATAATAATACAAAATGGAATGAAATACATTGACTTATGTTACATTGCCATATTATGACATGTAACAATTAGTGGTCGACTGATATGTTATTTATTTATTTTAATGGCTAAGAGCAGTATCAAAAGAGCGGGGTAGTTGAAATAATTCTAATAGTCAGGCCCAAACGAAAATGCTTCTGTTTTGCATTATTCTGTCATTTAATATAAATAGATTTTGCAATACAACGAATATTTTCAGCATAATAATAATATGAATAATTCATAAATAATGAATAATAATAATAATATTAAATATAATTTATTGATAGCAACAAAATGCATATATAGTGCACATTTTGTGTTTTCCAATATATATATTTTAAATATTGTGTTATATGTTTATTATACATTATATTTCAACCTATTTAATATATACCTGTATAATATAACTTAACTTGTATAAAATTATACAAGTCACTTAAATGAAACATTTCCAAAGTCTTTGAACAGATCTTGAAGGATTTGCTATCCTGTGGCTCCCTCAGCTAAATGCCAAAGGAATCATTTCACATTTTTATTTAGCTGATGTACTACAGCTTGATGTACTAAAATAACTAAAACTGAAATAAAAATTAATAAAAGACATTTTAAAAACAGACAGATGAAAAAAAGTAATAAAAATAACAAAAACACAACAAAATTACTCAAATGGTAATCAAAATTAAGATGAAAAAGGAAAGTATAAACTAATTCAAACTAGGCCTATTAATAAAACTGTAATAGTACCTCACAGATACTAAAATAACACTACCACTGTTCATTTAGATTAACTGGAAAAATATCTGCTGATCTAGTGTACTCTATCTAGTCTAGTCCACTGTCTAGACACTTTCTATCACGCAAAAAAACACTGCACACCCTTACGAAAAAGAAGTTTATTCAAGTGTGCAGTACACTTACAAGTATACTACTAGTACACTGATATTTGTATACTTACTACATAAAGTATACTTAAAAATATACTTGAACTTTACTTAAGTATACTTACTAAAATAAACTTGAAGTATACTACTTTTTGGTAAGGGCAGTTTAGCACCAGTGAGGGTGGAGATTTACTTTTGTTTTTAGTTTGTACCTCTCATATAATTCCAAGGCTTTTTGTGCTTGTTATTTATCACGGACTGTATCTTTAAATCCAACTTCAAGTCCAACACTTTCAAACACATTCTGTCAATAACATTCAGCGCCACAGTCTTTATATGGACTACCTGTCGGGTCGGGACGCCCCCACATTAAATCAACGACGGTCCCCGGAATGTTCAACTGACGTCACGGTTTGCTGGCAGTCACGTGCCCCGGTGGCAGGTCTTGATAAGCGCCTGCGCGAGTCTCGAGCTGAGCGCGTCTCTGAAAGCGTATAGAGAAGATGAGGCACAGCCCTCCCGGAGGGAATGTTTATACGTGATAGAGGAGCAGTTTATTTGTCTGATGAAAATGGATGGAAATACATAAGACCCTTCTTCAGTCCTGTGATTAATAATCAGAATAACGGTGCGTGTTTCAATGAGTGTGTCCTAATCGTCGTCCTACTGAAACAGTGAGTGTGCTATGCTCATATCTATTTATTGGTTACGGGCATTAATTTGCCTTCTGTTAGAAATAGAAAACGTTAAAATATGTGATAAACCATACATTTGAAGCATTTTAAATTAGCATATTTTATAAGTATATAAGGCGATATAGAGTGACTGCTGTCATCACGCGTCGGTAATTGTGCGCTTGTTTTGATTCTGATCATGTATTTACACACCATGTGATGATAGTCATCACTTACACCATTAAGCTCGTTAGAAACATGTTTCTATTTATATAATTCAGGATTTTAAGCTTCGGATGTTAAATACCATGGTCCTTATGATTTATGAGTTATTGTAAGACTGACCCAGCCCAACTGTATGGATGCAGTATCATCTTCCTATTTATTTCACCATATTTGTTCATGTTTGTTTATTAGTATAGCTTGCATGCTTGCATTAGTATAGCTTGCAACATGCAATGTTCTATCTTTACTGCCAACTAAAATGGATCTATAATGGAACTGTCAGTACTGGTGTGATGTGGTCTGCAGGGCCATAACAATCATAGATATTAAAGGGAATGTGTGCTATCAATATATGGATTAGTGGTTGACTTATGTTTATTATTATTATTATCATCATCATTATTATTTTAATGACTGATTATATATTAGTACATTTAGTACCTCCCAATCCTGAATATGTGGGTTAAATCCTTGGGTAGCTATTCAACAGGGTGTCATGCTCAAATACAGATCATCAGAGTTACAAAGTCAGAGATTCATTCATGTTGTCTGATGTGATAATGTGACGCTGTAGTTGTTTGGGGGGAGGGGAAACAACTGGTTGAACAAAGCATGGAAAATGAAAAAGGTATTTCAGAGAGGTTAAGGAAGATTTTTCAAAGCATCCATCATGTATTGTGATAATTTGTCTTTGATCCTGGATTTAGAGTTGGTTGTGATATGTAAATGAATTCAGAAAAAAATGCGGGGGATTCATGAGCATGTCTTAAAATTGAAATGTGATATTAGCCAGTGTGTCCTTTATAAATTAATTAAAGCATGAATATGATTTTTAAGTATGATGCATCTCACCAGTTTTTCTGGTTTATTGCATTTCAGCATCGCTCAACTGTAATTAAATATTTTGCCGTATAGGTTTAACAGTCTGTGCTTAACCAGTTTCAGCAATGCATGCTATAGTTCAGTTGGGTGTTCCTTTAAAATGCATCATGATATTACAGTAAATGTTACATTAAAAGGAAATGTCTGTTGAAACATTTTTGCTAATAAGTCTCTTGGTTTTTTTCATCTTCTCATCCACTTTGGAAAGCCTGCATGGGCAGAAATTGTTTTGAAACTCCAGATGTTTGCCAGAATTTGTCTCTTGACAAATACATTACTTTATAAGTGTCTTTAAACGTTACAGTAGATGGAGTTTGAGTTGGAACTTTAAAGAGAAAATAATTCCTGCCTGTCCGTTACCTCAGTAAAGTCTCCTGACAAAGCATTTCCACATTTTCCTGCCTCCTCCTATCCAAAGTATGCAGATGCCTGCTTGTTTCCCGGCATGGTGCAAAGGAATCAAATGTCCGCCCCGTGTCTTAAGCAGGACCAGATGCTCGGCCAAATGTGCAGCATTAGTTCCCCCTTTTTGTGTTTTCCTCCAGGCCTCCCTGCTGTCCCAGAGCTGTGCAGTATCAGGAGCCTGTTGGTCCATGGAGCCCTTACTCAGGGCCACAGCCCATCTCCAGCACAGCTGGATAAGATCATGCTCATTTTTATGAGCAGGCTGTTAAATTGGCTTATTCTGTGGCTCCTACATGCCACAGGTTGGTGAAAGAAGGTCAAGGCTTATCATGTCAACAGCCGTAAGCATGCTTCCTACAGCAGTACTACGATAAAATTGTACTGTAAAAACAAAATCTTTTAGTTTTTGCAGGTGTTTTCCCTGAATTTTTAATTTTGCACTTCATTGCATTGTGTAACGTAAATGTCCATAAAAATTACTGGATAATGTCCTGGAAGAAAATTATCAGTACATTTTCTGTTGTTTTCCGTGTTTCCGTTGTCATTCCGTTTTTTAAAACAGTGTATTCTTAAAATATTACCTATTATTATTTTTATATTATTAATTTTATTATTTATTTATTCACAACGCATGCTCTTATGGAGTTTATGAAGTCCTTTATGCAGCTTTAATGATAAATATTTGGCTAAAACAAAAAACCAAACAATATTTAAAAAATAAATGGACGCAATTGTTGTTTATCATTTGATAAATAATTCATTTATAATTTTTTAATCATTTAAGTGTCTTTGTTTTTGCAGTTTTTCCTGGAATTTATGTAATAAATTAAATTTTTTAATGGACCAGTACTTTGAGTGCTAATCCTAGATCACCTCATGGATACACTCACAGCCTCCTGCAACTCTCAGATGTATGTCCATTATGTGAGGTTGTTTTCCTATTCTGTGGCATCATTCTGTTGCATTGTGCTTTCTGCACTGTGTGTACTGGAACTGTCCAGTCATTTAAACTAGAAAAGGGAACCATTGATTTCTTACTCCAGTTCTTTGGAATGACAAGTATGAAGTCGGTCAGAGATTAGGGAAGTAAAGGAGTTCCTTATTTCTCTCTCAGAAGTCTGATAGGATGGCTCAGACATTAAGTGTAATTTTCTTTTATGTGTTCTCCATGCCAGGATTTCCGCTGCGTAGGACCCATGTTGATTTGTCAGATGAAAGAGACATTTCCAACGCACTTCCGGGCGTTTTTGAGTCTCTCTTTGACATTACTATGGTGTTTCTCAATAAGAGAGTGACTTCCTATGAGTTGCCTGAAAAGTGTTGTGTCAGTGCAAGAGTCTCTATAATTGCATCACATAACAATGAAATCTGCCTTAGGGCTTTCCAGTGTGCAGTGTGTCTTATTATAATATAATAACGATATAATTCTTTATCTAACGATAAAAAAGTTTATCCATATTTGCCTAGAATTTCACTAATCTGTGGGGTTATGCGGTTTCTTTTCCTTCCCAGCAGTTGTTATTGAGCTGTTGATGTGTGATTGTGAGGTCTTCATTCCTGCATCATTATCTCTACCAAAAGAGTCAGCTTTCTGCTCATCTGTGACTCGTTTTTGTTAGTTTTATGTAAGTATTTTCTCTCCTCCTTACATTTTTAAGGCGAATGATAAATATTCGCTGGCTTTTTTTCATGGTTGCCATGGTGAGGATTATAATTTCTCTCTGCTGATGATAGAGAGGGCACAGCCAGCCTCTGCGGATGGCGTGGTTGTTGGACCGAGAGATTACGTCTATATATAATCCTAAATCTCGCACGTAACATGTGACACATCTGCTACATTTTCTCCTCACTGTGTCTGGTGGACTTTCTGTTGTATTTGTCTATAACAATGTGGGTGTGATTGGATCTTGAGATGTTTGATTGTTTTTGCAAGCAGATTGATGTATTTATGTTTGCTTTGTGTGATGTTGTTGAGCACAATATGTGAAATCATCTATAGTAGAGACATCTGGAACAAAGTGGGCATCAGTGTCTTTGTCAGTGTTGGACAAGGGACAGAGAGAGTGTTCTAGAGACCCCTTCTTCAAAGCCCAAAGATTTATAAGGATGAGAAGGATTAGAGTTTTAAGGTCTGTATTTATTCTCGGCATCTAACCGGGATCATGAAATCTGCCAGTGACTTGTCACCATTTCCAAAAGATTTGGCAGAAACAGCAACTTCCCGTTTTACACCATTCAGCGTCACCGGTTCCTCATAAGACGAACTTCTTTACTTCAACACAGTCACAGTGAAAGAACTAGTCAATAGGTCAGTTTCAATTCCTAAGCTCTTAAGCCGTGTTCCGTGACTCCGTTGGCCATTACTGTAAACCACAGAGAAGCCATTAGCTATAAAGCTGAAAGCCACTAAAAACCTTTCAGATGGTTTCTGTTATAATGATGAAGGTACTTGGTGTGTAACAGTTTGAATTTCTAACGATATTTAGCTCATGATTTTTGGTAAAGTTCAATATTTGTTCAGGGAAAAAATAGGCTGCTATTTACTTACATAAGAATACTCTTTATTAGGTAAAAATCACTTTAAAAAGTTTAAACTTGAAAACTTAAAAATACTGTATATATATATATATATATATATATATATATATATGTCGTTTTTTTAAATATGATTTTATTTTGCAAGGATGCAAGGAAGAATAAATGTTTTTTTGAAATGTCTAGTCATCAAGGAATCCTGAAAAATATTTATTGTGGTTGCTTTTCACAGAAATATTAAGTAGCTCAACTGTTTTCAATATGATAATAATTAAACATGTTTCTTGAGTACCAAATCAGCATATTAGCATGATTTCTGAAGGATCATGTGATATTTAAGACTGGAGTAATGGCTGATGAAAATTCAGATTTTAAACAGATTATGCAAATATTATACAGAAATATTATACAGAGAAACATTAAACCCCTAGATGCTTATTAGCCTTTTTATCAGTGATTGGTGGGACTGTGTGACCCCTACAGAAAGATAACGCTGGACCCACAGTCTACCAGTGGGTGCCATGCTATTTTTGGTACCATGAACCCATGCGAGCATCAGTCACTCATAATGGTTTAGAGTGAGTACATGTGCCAACTTGTGTTGTAAAAGCCCCAGGCCTCTTCTGAAAGAGAAGGGAATCTCTAATTAAGATATCAGTGGTTGTGGTGTTAGTGAGGCTTATGGTGACAAACCTTACATTAATGCAGGCAGAAGGAATTCCCTTTGTTGTCTGACCTTTTTTTAAGTAAATTTTTTTTCTTCCTTCCTGTGCACTTCTTCTGCTGGTACAAACTCTGACTCATGATTCAAAAGCATAATAGGACATATTCCTTTATCCCCAGCAGGAACAGGTAATTGCTTTCGTCTGTCCAGTTTATACTTACAAAGATTGTTATATGAGGTTGTGCTCTGCATCTGTGGATGTGTAATGGTCATATCCTTTTCTAAGCACATAAGGGAGAAAATGTATCCAGAGTAAAAATGGTATTAGTGTTGTATAACTCACACTGCATGTGCTGATTTTTTTTTTTTAAATCCCTCTCGGTTTAAAGAAACATGTTTTCATTTGTGAGCACCTGGCATTATCAAGCAACAGTGTTTACTAGGCTGCAGTTTCACATTTCTTCAAGTGCTCACTCTATTCACATCGCTCTCTTTTTCCCAGGATATACAGTCCCGTTCTATGGGAATGATCGAAGATGGAAGACAAAAGCCTTCGTGTAGCAGACTACTTTGTGGTGGCAGGACTCACCAACTCATCTAAGCCCCTCGAGGAAGATGTCCACCCTGAGGATGGTGGTCATCGGAGCTCAGCCCAGCTCAAGGCACCCATCACTGATGTGGCGGTGATGATTCGCTCCCTAGGGGAGGAAGTACCTCGAGGGTATACCTGCGTTGAATGCACCCCCTCTGGACTTCCTGCCGAACTAAATGGAGGAAGCCTCATGGGGCCGCAGATCTTCCTCTGCTATAAGAGAGGCAGAGACAAACCGCCGCTCACAGACCTGGGGTAAGACAATTTTAAGTCATCTCCTGAAGCAAAGGCTGTTCTAAACAGTTGCTAAAAGTTTTGTTCTCTTCCTTGTGACAAACTCAGGGACAAAAAGATTGTAGACGAAGACATAAATATACCCAATTCTTTTCAATATTAGAAAGTATCAAGAAAAAAGCTCAATCTAAAACTTGTAGAAAAAAAAGATAAATCTAAACTCTTAAAACAGAATATTTAATTCTATATAATTTGCTTATTAAAACATCATGTAGTTATCTTACCAACATATTACTCAATTCTATTGAAATCAATGGTTAGTCATGTGTCTGATGCTTCATGCTAAATGGCTGTTGATGGAGCTGCTTTCCAAATCACTAATTTATGAGGTACCATTTAGGATGCTGTCTTTTAAGGTAGCTACTAATGTAGGCAGTAGACATTGAGGCAGCTCAGTTGGTTTTGGAACCTTTTGTGTTTTCACTTTTGTTTTGGAGAACCTTTACTATCTTCATGTCCTTTGTTTCATGATTCTTAGTGTCCTCTTTGAGTGGAAGGAGAAACTGAAGCCGGACTGTCAAATTATACAGACCACGCCCTCTGGTCGCCCTGCTAATATCAGTAGCTCCTCTTCCCAAAGGATCTACATCACATATCGGCGTGCCTCTGAGAATCACTCTCACACCACGCTGGCTGTCACAGACATCTGTGTCATTGTTCCCGGCAAGGGAGAGACACCACCACATGCTTTCTGCAAGGTGGACAAGAATCTCAACAGCAGTATGGTGAGCACAACAGTTCTGTTGAAAAGGCCAGTTTAGATGGTGGAAAACTGGTTGACCCTGATGGTTTTTCTAATGATGCTGGTTGTCCATGGAAGTCTTGCTAATCAAGAAACCTTGTTGAAACTCAGCAGCATTCAATTGCATTAAAATCTAGAGATTTAGATTTAAATATGGATACCATATTGAATGTCAGTCAATATTAGAGTTTTTTGTGATATCAGCCAATATTGGTGAGATTTTCAATAATTATCAGCTTATCGGTATTTTCACAATTTTAATATTGGTACATCCCTGTTCAGAAGCGTTTTAGGGGGGTTGTTTTCCATAAATTATGGAATTATGAGACATAACTTCAGAATCATCCTTTTACATATCTGTATAAAATTTGAAATCAACTTAATTTCTGTTTTTCCTGCATTTACAGTGGGGGTCCTCTGTGTACTTGTGCTACAAAAAATCTTTGGCCAAAACCAACACACTTGCATTCAAAGCAGGTATTGTATCTCAGCCTTGAATTTTTTTGCACAGTTTGTCTTTTGTTGTGCATTTTGCAATGAACAGCAGGAGGGTAAGGATGCGTTAGCAAGAGGCACATCAGAGCAGTAGGATATGACTGCAGATGAATGAAACCTGATACTCCCATATAGCAAGAACAAAATGATGTCATTGTTAAGCTTAGTGCTCACAGCACCAAAAAGATCTAGGCTTAAACGCTGCCTGCGATTAGCTTGTCATATGGAAGACTGGGTCAAGGAATTAATTACAGGGCAAGCGATGCAGTGATCAGTAATAATTGTTGTCTTTGATGGAGCTCTACAGCCTAATTGAGGGTTTGTATGGGGTGTGTGCAGGTCTTTTGTCCAGATACCCAGAGGAGGATTATGAATCCTTTCCTTTGCCTGAATCCGTGCCCCTGTTTTGCCTGCCGATGGGAGCGTCCATTGAGTGCTGGCCTTCTCATACCAAATATTCTCTACCTGTCTTTTCAACATTCGTTCTCACAGGCGCCTCTGGAGAGAAGGTACAGACAGGAAAATTCACGCATGAGCATGCACAAATACACACACTAACGTTTTGATTTTCTGCAGGTTTTCTTTTCGTGTCAGCACCATCATTCTTTGAGAAAATCAGACACACAAGAATTGTCTTGTCTAGTTTAGCAATGTACAAAGAATTTAAAGCAGCTAGAAACTGCCGCAGGCGGAATATCAAAACTGCCTGTAAATAATGGGCCTCAGAAAAGAATTGAAAATAAGATGAACATGCGTAATTGGCCTGTTTAATAATGCATTGCTAAAGTGCTGTTTGGGTCAGCTCAATTATGTCAAACACATCAGTACACTCAGCTCACTCTCCTTACAGCCGAACAGGTCTCAAGACTATTTGTGCTGCAGTGTTGTATAATTTATTCATTTAGGTGAGCGGCTTCAAAGAAACATGGCTAAGCTGAGATATTTCTGATCTAAAAGACTGCAAAAATAAATCTTCCGTATCACTTTCTCACTGGGTAGATTTGAGAAAAGCAGTTTTGAAATAGATATTGATGGTGATTGCTTTCAAGTAGGCTAAAATAGTTGCCATTGTGCACTTTAGAAATTGGAATCATGCGGGTATTAAGACAGCTTTTTTTGTTCTCTGAAATGTAAACCAACCCAAATCCTAGAAAGTGTTCATGAGTCTGTCTTGTGCGCTCAGGTTTATGGTGCCGCCATCCAGTTCTATGAGCCCTACCCGGAAGAACATTTGACTGACAAGCAGCGATCTCAGCTGGGCCTGCAGGCTAACGGGCTCAGGCCTGATGGATCGATGACTGTCCACACCAACAAAAGCATCTGCCTTCTCTCTCACTGGCCCTTTTTTGATGCTTTCCATAACTTCCTGACCTTCCTCTACAGATACTCCATCTCAGGTCCACACACTCTGCCCATCGAGAAGTGAGTTCTGAGGACAATTTTGGAGGTTGCTAGGCTAGAGCATTTTGCGGCCACTAGAAAGTAATGTTTTTTTTTATTTGTCCTTAGGCATATTTCCCATTTCATGCACAAGGTTCCTTTCCCTTCCTCACAAAGGCCACGTATCCTGGTGCAGGTGAGTTTTGTGCACATGGTGTCTTTGTTTGAACACTGTCCTTCTTGAATGTGTCAAAACAAATGACATAGTGTGGTCAAATAGCTGCCAACCCTGGCCCTCATCTCACTGTGACCGCGTGTTTGTGTGATACAGGGCCCATAAAGGGACAGAAAATACATTTAAAAAAAATTGGAGATGGGAATAAACTTTTTTTTTTTTTTTTTTGCTTTGCTTTGTTGTGTTGTTGGTTTTTTTTGGTGTGGTTTGGTTTTTGGTGAGTATGTGTTGTTTACACGCCTGTTTTCTCTGCCCACAGTGGCGGAAGGATCTCTACACTGCTGTTGAACCTCGGCCCAAAAAATGCAGTGACTCTGCTGGTGTTGGCTGTGACTGAACACAAGATCCTAGTGCACTCCTTACGTCCAGCCGTTCTTACCAGCGTTACCGAGGCCCTGGTGTCGGTGAGTGGAAGACTATTAATTTTCAATCATGCCTTTCCCATTCCTATTTTACAGTATCAGTTAATTTTGCTTATTCTCCCACTTTTGGTTTTGTCTTGTCTCAACTTGTTTTACATGTCCCACAGATGATTTTTCCCTTCCACTGGCCATGCCCGTACATTCCTCTCTGCCCGCTGGCCCTGGCAGATGTACTCAGTGCTCCATGCCCTTTCATTGTAGGGGTGGACTCACGGTACTTTGACCTCTATGAGCCACCGACGGACATAAGCTGTGTGGACCTGGACACCAACACTATAACTCAGTGAGTGACCTTTTTACCTCTACATAGTTCTAAGTTCCCATGAGAGCCTCTTCTGACCTTTTTGACCTACGGTGTTGAGATAGTCATCTTTTACCGCTTAAATTCACAAAATAAACACTAATTTCCCAGTGTAGGTTTTGATTGGTGCCTTTGTGATCTGCATAGCGTTTTTGTTCTTAAGAAATTCTAAGCAATAGCAAACAATTTTCAAGTGAAATTCTGAGTAATTATGATCTTTATCTTCATGCAGATGGTTAAAAGATCAGGATGGAGATATATGAGCAGCGAGGAATGTTATAGTAAAGACAGGACCCTCAGTACCACCATGTGTTGAACACATGCTCCTGTGTTGTTTATCTGCCAGTATGCACCTTAAAGATTGCAGACATTGTAAAAGCTACATTGAAACTATAAAGCAGCCCTCAGTTCTGTTGTTCACGGGCATGGGCTCCCTTTGCTGTTTACTCTCTCAAATGATAAACATGTGTGGCCTATTTCAGCAAAGAAGAGCGCAGATCCCTGACCTGGAAGATCCTGCCAAGAAAAGCCTGTAAACGTCTGATCAACACCCTCAGCAATCTCCACCAGCAACTGGATGAGGGTTAGTGAGGGCGGGTCACTGTGGGGTCAACAAAGAAAGGATTTTACTTATTTTCTGTTCTTTTCAAGGTAATATTAGTTCACTTCACTGTACAGGAAATGCCACTCTAAGTGGCCTTCTACTGTCCTTTTTGGGCTATGACAGTATCATTTTTATTATCTAACAATGTTTTATGAATGCTTGACTGAGTAAGAGCAAAACCAGTCATCCTTGAGATGTGATGAGATTTAGAGATGGGGGCAATTGGCTGGATAGAGACAGAGTTAGGCACAAAGTCTTTTTTTTTTTAGTGCTGTGATACTGTCTGATACATGAGAGCTAATTGATGCTTCAGTCTTTGAACCAGACTTTGAACCCAATTATTCAATGTGTTTTTGGTTCACGAAAATGTCCTGTACGGAATGTACCAACTCGTAGAATTGGGCCTAACAGTGAGATTATTTATAGGTAAACTGTAATAAAAATGATGTATTTTTCTGTGCTAAGTGACTGTGTTCCCATATATTTTATGGAGAACATTATGTGTTCGTTGATGTGGATGTTTAATAACAGACAGAGCCTAGGATCTTTTTGCTGACCTTTCTGAAGTGACGTGAAAGGAGCTTATGTTATGTGCCCATATCTCAAATTGAGCCTACTATATCTTCCTTATTGAGATATGCTACGTATATAACCTAGACATTATCAGTACATTTCTCCTTGTGTATGAAAGTTGCCTTGTATACTCTACCGTTCAAAAGATTGGTGTAAGATTTTGATGTATTTGCTCACTACGGCTGAATTTATTTGATCAAAAGTCCAGTAAAACAACAATTATGTTAAATATTGCAACAATTCAATTTATTCATTTATTCTGTTTTAATATATTTTAAAATGTAATTAAATAAAAATCTTACTGATTCAAAACTTTTGAATGGTAGTTAAAAAATAGTAATTTAAGCATCAATTTTCCACAGGTTATCAGATGAGCCGCGAGGAAGGACAGATGGAGGCCTTTATGAGCGAGCGGGAACCTGGCAGTGGTGGGAAGAGTCTGGAAACCTTGGAGCTGGAGATCCAGGAGGCTTTTCTGCGCTTCATGGCGGCCATCTTGAAGGGCTACCGTTCATACCTGTTGCCCATCACACAGGCACCATCTGAGAAAGCAACTGACGCCAGTTCACTCTTCGATCTGCAAGGTGAGCAGCCAAGATGGACGTAATGTTTGAATAAGCTTTCTCCTATTGTTGTTTACGAACATCAGGAACAGCTGTGATAGAGTTGCTTCATCAGCATCAAAACGGAAAAAACGTCTTGTTTTGGCCCAACCGCATGCCGAGAGTCCACTGTGGTGCATTAGTGGAATGCCGACGCTCAGCAGCTGCTCAGAATGCTCAAACCTGGCCCTGTGCCTGTGGAGTCTGGCTTAAATCATGCTTGAAATTATTGTGGCGATTTTGATAAAGCCCCATTGGAAATTAGACATGCCTGACAGGTCCAACAAACTGCAATGATTAATAGAATGTCTGTGAACACATCTGCAGCCTCTTATGTAATCACTAAGTAAAAGTCTGTTGCATCTTTCACACAGTGTACACTCAACAGCTTTCTCAATGACTAACACGTCATTCATGATGCACCCTCCTAAATTTGACTGATTAAATGTTTAATCACAACCGACAACTGTGGCGGTGAATTATAGTAATCAAATAATGAATGTGATCACCTTTTCTTATTGTAATGGCACCTCTCTGACTCTCTGCTTGATGTCCTTGACTTTGAATATGGCTTTTTTTGCAGGCTTTTTGAAGAGTCGTGATCGATCCCATCAAAAGTTTTACTCCCTCATGACCAAGACACAGATGTTCATTCGTTTCATCGAAGAGTGCTCTTTTGTCAGCGATAAGGATGCAAGCCTTGCTTTCTTTGATGACTGCGTTGACAAGGTATGAAACCCTGGTCTATAATATATATTTAGTTCCCGCTAAGAAATACTTCTCATGCCTTTATCTAGAATACAGCCGCCTCTAATTAGATTCAACATAAACTGCTTCTACAATGCTCACAAAGAGTTACCATTTTACAACTGCACTCCAGGCTCTTAGCAAAGAGCATGTGAAAAATTCAAAGAGTTCAAGGGCTAACGTATGTCAGATTATTAATTTTCTGAGCATTGTTCTCTCGTTTGTTCGTTTCTACTTTCTGGCTTTTCATCTAAGCAGGCTGTCCTATTATTTTTGCTTTCCTCACTGCTTTCTTTTCTCTTTTCTCTTTAAACTGTTGTCTTTGCTTGCTTGGAAAGTTGTTCGGTACGGAGAAAGGAGAGAAGGTAAGTTGCTTAATTCAGTGTCTTTTAAATTCTGATGTATTGCAGAAGTGAAAACAGTCACTAGAATCCTTTACCTTGGTTACAAAAATGGCCTTTAATGGTCCTAAAAAATATTTTTTCACTTCACTTTCATTTATTTTACTTTACTTTGTAATCTAAAAACATCATTTAGACTGTTCGGAAAAAAAAAAAAAAAAAAAGCTCACCCTAGATTTTTGACCTCAGTTTACAGACATGACCTGTTTTGTTTTGTGGTTTCACCATGGGTGTGGTGATTCATAGCTGGTATTATGAATCCTGGCTTGCTGCCTTCATAATTAAAAAAAATATATTTTAACATTTCTGTTTAGATCAGAGTCTCTGCAGAACTACTAAGATCCTGCATGCATAATTCATTTTTCTGTGCCTTACGCCGCTTTGCATTTTCTTATATTCGCAACTGTTGTGCCCTTTCTCGGTATGATCCAGACTGCACATGGATCTGAAGCTGTATCTTCAGTGAACTGCTGCAAGTTGTCTCCTTTTAAAATGCAGACAAATATATTCCCAGATGGTTATTTTGTGCCTTTGTAGTACATTTATATCTGTCTCAACAGGAGCACACAATTTATTCTTGTTTAGAGGAACAGGAGTCATCTCTCACCTGTCCTCCCCACAAGGTTTTAGTGTGCTAGTAAAGACGAATGTGCAGCTCTTTGTCTTACACTTTCAATTATGCTGCCATCAGTGAAAGTCACACTTATCCTGCTCTGGCCTGTCCTTCCCTTATGCAAGGACCTTGGAGGACAGTTCTTTAGCACTGTGGTGGTAATGAAAATGACAGTTTGAGTTGATTTAAACTGACGTGGGTTTGTGGGTTGTGTTCACAGAGGACATTTATAAAGGAATCAGGGAGGTAAAGGACAAACCATGTACCGCTGTATCCTGAAAGCATTTGGTTATAGTGTGACACCTCAATGATCCAATGAACCAATTTTAAAGTTCATCACAATTTAGTAATATATAACCATCTTGTACCCACTTTTTGAGTTTCTGAGTGAAACTTTTGATTTTGGTGCTGCCTCTGTGATACATGTATATTCACTAATTTTAAAATTGATATCATGAAAATGACAGGCTGTTAATAGGCTGCTAATATTGCATTTACTTTGACCTCCTGAGGTAGACAATTTTTCAGCATTTTCTAAAGGTTAGGCACCTGCTTTCACTGACTATTTGTTGAAAATGGACTTTAGACTTTTTTGTACCGTATTCATGGAAAGTGCCTTTCGGCATCCTGGTGCATTACAGAGAGCTCTAATTGACATCACAGTCATCAATGCTGTTTTTCTCTGGTAAAAAAAAGAGCCACTGATTGATCTGAAACCTTCTCAGGGAAACTCATTTTGCAAGTCCAGGGAGAGCTCGATTCTGCCCCATTGCTCTTATTGTCTGTCTAATAATTGTGTAACAATATGATCCAAAACCCTTTTGCTGAAAATGCTTTACAGAGACTTAAACTGATTTTCCCTCTGTCGATAGATATAAAGTCATGCTTTATTTGATAGCTTTCCTTATTTCCAGTGTAGTACAGTGCATGGGCTTTATACGATGCATTTATGGTCCATTTACAGGGCTTGCAGACAGACTTTGTCTGAAGGCTAAATGCACAGTGGCTCCTCAAAGCCTTGCCTTGCCTATAAATTGCACTGGAATGGTTTCGCACCCCTCGAGCAATACAACATTAAGCGTTAAGTCCAGGTCAGTGCACTTGTAGTGCGTCTGTGGCAGATGGGGAGGATTGGATGAAGACTAGGAGGATCAAAGCTTCTTGGTACAGATGTGAGATCAGTCGGACACAACAATGTGGGAGATTATCAGGATCATTTACACTAAAACCAGTGCTCCATCTGATCTGAGGTCAGATCATCTGCACCTGGTGTCTCCTGGCTAACTGCAGCATGTCCAGACAGTGGAAAATCCCTTGGCATGGTTGTATGGCAGTATGTGTGTCTGGTTCAAGATTCAGTTCCCAATTCTGACCAAAATATAGCTTGGATTGACATGTGATGAGTCCGTTTGACAATATAGTATTGAGTAAGTTAGCAAGTTATAAAAGACAAAAAAAAGACTTTTTTAAGCCTTCCAGTTGCCATAAATATTCTCTCCAGTTCCTCTTTCTGCTTTTTACTTTCCTCTTTTTATTCAGAGACCTCAATGACCAGTGTTGGCAAACATATATCCTCTTAACTACAACCTGATCTTTTCTCAGTCATGGGTCATTGCTTCTTCTATGTGTTTTTGTGGAAACGGAAGACAGTCTGTATCTGATAAAGTGTGTTTTTACTCTAGGTGGACAGCGAAAAGCCAGAAGACACAAGGCTTATTGAACTTGACAAATCCTACCGCAGCGAGCACACGGTCTACATCACACCTCCGGAGCTGCCAGCACTTCCAGAAGGAGAAGAGGCTCCTATGGTTTATAGGTACAACAGACACTTCTCCCATGTACAATACTACACTGTGCACATAAACAGTACACCACACCACAGATGGCATTGAAGCAATAGCATAATCCCCTTTCAAACCTCTCCCAGGGTGCAGCGTGTAGAGTAAACCCTCTAAGGGTCCTGTGTCTGCAGAAACTCTCACGAAAGCAATAATGCCAACTCCTCAGAGAACATGTGATTGTATTAATTGGATCTGTTATTTCGGGATTTGGCATTATTTTGTTACAATTGGAAATGAGGTGTCTTGACATTGAAGATCGTCCTATATCCCATACAGTATATCGAGTATATATTTGTTTTTACGTATTTTTAGGTTTTAAGCTTGTTTTAAGTTTGTCCTTATGTGACATGCTGTTCATAGTTTAAAAATTGTTAAATACTTTTTAAAATAATTTATAATTTAATTTTAAATAACATATTTCCTATTATTTTTGTTATACATTTTAGTGAATTTATTTTATAATATGTAAATATATTTTACTGAATTGTAGTATTTCTACTCTGAATTATTATGTTTTATATAAGTATAGTTTTCATGGCATGGCATTAAAAAAAACAACCAAAAACAAACAACTTAGATATTTATATCCTATATTTTATTAAAAAAAAATTTATTTTAAAATCTGCAAACCTGTATTTATTTTTATCTTCTCTAAACTACAGAAAATACATCGTATTGCCTGCAGTTAGTGCTGCATGCTGCAGCATTGTGCTTTTGATAAATAAACTTTGACGTGACTTGACAATAACAATCAAGTACAAGATTAACATGTAAGGAAGAACAGTGTTTATGATGTTGATGTCTTGCAGCTACAGTGGGTTCCCGGTACTGAACGCCCAACTCTGTGAGCTTCAGGATGGTCCCAGAGTCCCCAAAGCAACATCAGCCATGAGACACATCAGTCCCATCAGCCCAGCTGCCATTTTCAGGCGCTCCCAACAGGTTGGTATTTCAAACAGTAATCTCATCCAAATCACACCCCATGATGCCGCTTGTCAAATCTCTCCCCCTCCTCTCTAATACCCCATCCTCTCTCTGATTCTCCCTCTGTAGGAGATCAAATCAGCCCAGAGAATGGCTAAGACATACTCCTCCATCCCACAGATGTGGTCCAAGTGTCTGCTCAGGCATTGTCACGGCCTGTGGTTCATCTGCCTGCCCTCGTATGTCAGCGCCTGCCACTCTAAAGTGCGGGCACTGCATACTGCTTACGACGTGCTGCGAAACATGCAGGACAAAAAGTTGCAGCCTCCTGATGAGGTAGAGTCGCCTAACAGTGTCCATTGATTGGTTTTGCCAGTACAGTTTGTGCTGCACCTAGACAGCGGAAATTTCCACTGGTGTTGTGGTTTTGTAAGTAATGGTTCATTTCTGCTCCAATGGAGGTGTGTTACCGGGTCCTGATGCAGCTGTGTGGGCAGTATGGACAGCCTGTTCTTGCCGTCCGGGTTCTTTTTGAAATGAAGAAAGCCGGAGTGCAGCCAAATGCCATTACCTATGGGTACTACAACAGGGTGAGAACAGTTTACTTTTGTGCTACATGGAGACACATTGCAATCTAAATAATACTAAATAAACATACATAAATTATCTGTACTAAGACATATTTTTGGTTTTGTGGTAGACCACATGATGCAAGATTTCGGAATTTTATTGCTATTTCTTGATGAAATACATGCAGCCAGTGACCCTTAAAAAGTTTTTCTAAATGTTTGAATTTTATTGCATTAAAAAAATAAATATCAAATAAATATGTTTATCCTCGTAAGTGAACCATTTTTATGTCCTCTGGGTGGTACTTCCTTTAGTTTTTGGTGTTTTGCTCATGGATTTTGCACTGAAATACCATAGCGATTGAGTGGACAGATAACAAAAAAAAACAACATCAACGATAAAATATATAAGATGTTTTCTCCTAGTTTTAGAAGTTGAGCATATTTATTTTGTAATCAAACTTGTGCACAATTATATGGTTAGTTGTTAGTTATGCTTTTAGCATTTTTCCTACTAGCCACAACTAGAACAGACAGAATCAGGACAGATCTGCAACCCATTTATGAGTCCCAACCCAACCACTGCTCTGGCATAATTGGTTTGCAAATGCCACCTGGTTTGACATTTTATCTAATGAAATGGCATCAATACATTTTAAGTGTGTAAGTACATTTTGGAGCCACTTTAGATTTCATAAAAAGGTGACCAATGACAGATTTGTGTAATTTCTTTTTGTAAAATCACTTCTTCAAAAGAAACAGAGAGAAAACAGATTTATCCTATGTAGGTGTGTTATGCTAATGCTCAAGAGCCTCGAGCTGGCAGTGGATTTGGCATGTGACTTTATTTCTCATGCCGGTTATCTTTAGACAAAAGCTTAGACTAGCAATCATCTCCCTGGTGACCAGTTTTTGTGTGTGCTTTGCAAGATGTCCCAAAATACCAAGAGGACACACTCACAGAGACATAAGTCCAAGCAGCTGAGTGTTGTTCCAATTCTATCAGAGTAATTACAGCTAGTCCTTCAGAAAGAACACAATCTACTTATGATAATGAGAGGCGTTGCACTGTAGAATTATTTAATTAATCTGTATGTGAATGTGCGCGCGTGTGTATTTCACTGTGGTGTTCTTCTCTCCCCAGGCTGTTCTGGAGAGCACATGGCCTTCCTCCACCAGAGGGGGATACTTCCTGTGGGGAAAGCTGAGAAATGTGGTTCAGGGTGTGGTGCGGTTCAAACAAGTATGGAGGAAGCAGACCACCCACCCGAAGGACACCCATCTTTCTGGTAAAACCCCCCAACTCCATTTCACACATTCCACAGAAGTGGACACACTTAATTTACTGTAAAAACAAAGACAGATCCAATCTAGAAAAAATTACACATGATTATGCTGCCTTTGTCACGGTCTGTCACAGCAGTTTACTACAGAGAGACCCAGATGCAGAATGATCAAGGGAGTGAAGTTCATTGACAAGACAAGGAACGAATGAGATGAGTCCAAACAGTAGGAAAGGGCAGTCTGCAGGAGAACAGGAGGATGGCTGAGGTCAGACCTGGACAAAGTTAGGCTGGAGAACAAGGATGATAGAACGGCCCCAGATAAGGAGAACACTGGAGATCAGGCAGCAGCTTGAGAAACCAGGGCTTGATACTTTGAGCTGTGGTGAAATCAGTCCAGTCAGATAGCCAGGTCTTGAGAACAGCAGCCAGGGGAATCAGGACACAGAACAGGAACAAACACAAGACCACAAGAGAGAACAAGCAGCAAGATAAAACTCTGACTACGCACTGACTAGAAAGAAAAGAACAAAGAAAAAAAAACTCAAACTGCAGAGCAAATAAACAAAAGAATGAACCATAAGGCAAAATCTAGGAATCGATAACTGGAATAAAAACAGACGAGATCAAAATAAGGAAAGAAACCAAGCAAGAGGTTTGATAAAACTAGAATAAAAATAAAGACAGGAACTAGACTAGAGCAAAATAACAAAAAGCAAAGAAAACCTAATAAACCTCTAGAAAACTAAACGCAACGCTAGACTGACAAGGACTGTAAAAGACCACTACTAATACGACTAGTAGACTGACAAAGAATTCTCTTCACACAAGGAACTAATGCAACAAACCAGCAGAGACATGCGGGAAGAGGCACACTATAAAGGAGCAGAACACGTGAGCAACAGGTGGACACAATCAAGTTAACAAGGACTAGACTAGAACCAAACAAGGGGGCGTGGTAGAGGAAACAAGGGGGCAGGACGAGAGGAGCACATGGCCAACATAAACAAAGACAAAGCCATGTGCTTAGAGTACACAAGACAAACAAGGAAACGTTAAACAAAGACAGAACAGACATGACTGTCTGGGCAGGCCATCTAATATTGGCAAAATGTAAAAAAGATTGACAGTCCCTTAATGCACTGTAAAAGCTCCAAAAGCAATACAAAATGGTGGACAAAACATGCAAAATATCTAATGGCGCTTTTCCACTGCGTGGTACGACTCGGCACGGCATCAAGCTCTCACTGGATCCGCTCCTCTGCTATCAACGAGAGCAACGTCTGTACTTCCTCAACAGGGGGAACAGCCACTTTTTGGTTGTTAAAAAAAGGTGCGCTCGTTCAAAACAGTTGCGTTCGATCCTTCTCTGGCTGTGCTGATTTAAATCTAGCGGTTCTTTGTGTTTGTGTCGCAAGTTCAGTGACGCGGGTAGTGACGATTCTCTCCGGCCAATCCGTGATCAGCAGAGTTTACACGTCACGTTTTGGTAACGGTACGGTTCGCTTGGAACCCCAACCGAAGTGGTACTAAAAAAAGTACCAGGTACCAGGTACTGTACCCAGTGGAAAACCCCCCAAAAGTGAGCAGTACCATGCAGTGGAAAAGCGCCATAAATGTCTAAATATAAAAATTAATTAAGATACATTTTACCCAAATTACCAATTTTACTCAACTATTACTATTCTAACACAATATATGTAATAAAATATATTATAAAATATGAGTATTTTACCCAGTGTATGTTAGCTTAGCAACATACTAATGGTAAACTCTATTGAAATAAATTGTGAGTGAGTCTTTTGGTGTTTCATATGAGAAGGAATTAAGCTTGGAATTTCTGCCTTTGAAAATCCCTTCCAATTTGGCCACTTTTTTGAGATTCCATTTTGGTTAGGAAGCTGCCTGTGTAAAAAAAAAAACATTATATCCTGGTTAGGTATGTTTTGAAGCATGGTAACTGGTTTGAGCTGGTCCCTAGTTGGTCATGAGCTGGTTTAAGCTGGTCCTGAGCTGCTTATAAGCTGGTCCTGAGCTGGTCCTAAGCAACTAGCTCCTGCTCAGGACCAGCTTAAACCAGCTCTTGACCAACTAAGGACCAGTTTAACCCAGTTCAAACAAGCTACCATGCCTCAAAACATACCTAACCAGCATATGCTGGGTGGGGGGTTTCAAAAGGGAAGGCAGCTCACTAGATTTTGTAACAGAATTCATTATTGGGCAACGACCATGGAGTTTGGGCCAGTTCTTTAATAGCTACATTCATTGCTTCTGCAAAGTGATAATCATTCTGACTGTTAGTTCTACACCAGGACTTTTAATTTCTCTTCAAAACAGTTAGTTATATCATCAGAGTTGTTTCAGAATAAAGATATCCCCTTTGAGAAGCTAGCCTAGTCTACAGAGGAGCATGGATTCAATATCATTTCCCACTGTCAGAAAAACTTTCCATCATTTCACACAAAGACAGCGTTACTTGAGCTTTGTGCCTGAGGAGGTACCATCTCTCAGCAATCTTCCCCCTCAGTACTCGGGCTAGATCCAGCTTGCCTGCTGAACCAAAAATACTTTAATGGGTCCAATTAAGATCCTCCTCAGCCACTATAGTTCACATTCTGTGCTGGATTGGATCTTTCTCACACGGCCCCCTGTAACCAGCATATTAGAGAAGGGCACAAGAGGGCTTTCATAATTAAAACAAGCTGCCTTAACCAACCACCCCCAAAAAAACTGCAACTTTGTCATGCAGATTGAATGTATCTCACACTAAAGGGCTGATTGCATGAATTGACTTTTCAATTCGTTCGTTAAATGAATATACAGTAACATTCAAAAGTATAGAGTCGCTGTGACTTTTTTTTTTCTTTCTTTTGAAAGAAATTAATACTTTTATTGAGCAAGGATGCAATACATTTATAAATTTTAAATTAACATTGTTGAAAAGAAAATCTATTTTCAATGAATGCTGTACTTCTGAACTTTCTATTCATGAAAGAATCCTGAAAAACATGATCACTGTTTCCATAAAAAAATTAAGCACCATATTATAGTGATCACAATATTAAAATGATCTCTGAAGGATGATGTGACACTGAAGACTGGAGTACAGTATATTTTAAATTACGGTTATTTTACATTGTAATAACATTAATATCAAAAAGTTTTTACCAACCCCAAACTTTTGAAACGTAGTGTATATTTTTATTTTAATTGTTAGATTATTGATTATGAAATCTATGTTATGGTTTTTAATATAAATTTTATGGCTTAGACATACCGTCTAATAGGGCTGGGCGGTATGACAGTATATATCGTTACCGCGGTATGGAATGTCAACCGTAACAGATTTTTTTTTTATTCTGTGTATACCGTGTATGGCTACAACAGTTCATATATTATTGTCATAACGAATAGAAATAGCCTTAAATAATATATAGTAATCGGCATCTTTTCGCCTCTTATGTGTACAGTTAATTTTTACACAAATTCCATGTGGATGCGCAAACGGTTGCCATGGTAATGAACAACCTGCTTGTTAAAGTGAATGTACATAATCCTGTTTCTGAGTAAAAATGACTAAATATTGAGAGTCTAACAGCGTGTATTATATTTTTCTAACTCCAAATTATCAGACACTGATCGGAACCAACTGATAATAAACTTCTGTGATTCGATACGTCTCTCAACTTGATGCTTAAATTAACCGACAACATTTTAATGATGCAGAAGATACGCACGCACATGCAGTGAGAGGTGAATATGAAATGTGTCAGTCTTCACTGGGCTGGAGTCAAATAATGACACTGTTATAAGGTGTGTATAATTTAAACTACTTAGTCAGCACTAACAGTAGCTGATGTTCAGTTTGCATACTGCTGCTCTCCTTCTAGTCACTATTGAACTCTTCCCACTCTTGATTAAAGCTCCAGGTGAAGGGTTGCCAGTTATCACAAAAAGAGCAAAACAGGCCCCTTAAAAATGCAGTATAATGAGCAGATACCAGGGAACAATTTTAAACTAAGTAACTAGTATTAATAATATCTTTCGAAATTAAATTAATTAATTAATTAATTATGAATAGAATATTTCAATATAAAGTATTTAGATATTATAAACTGACTGAAGTAAAACAATAACATGAGATTTAAAAATAATTCAGAAACACCTACAAGTTGCATTTAATATCAATCAGTTGGGGGCAGTTAATCTAAAAGTTGAGTGTGTTTTTACTAAATAAATAATTTACCAAATAAAAGAAAAAGAAAAATCAAACAAGGTGAAGTACTTTTCATTTCTAAAGTATTTGAGCTTATTTATTATATAAAGCCCTTTTTGTCAATTTTCAGAATAACTACATATATTAATAACTGTATCATGAAATAAAATTAGTCATACCGTGAAACAATTTTTTTTTTTTTTTAAGTTTATTTTGCTTATTTTTTTTTTTTTTTTAAGGCATAAACCTAAAAACTTATTTTTGTTAGATTTTGCTTAAAACGGTGACGCATGTTTGAGAGATATTCTCAATTTGAAAGCCCTCAACAACCTTCTCACCATGTGGGTGGCTTTATTTTTCATTTTGGATAAGAAAAGCCTCTACACGCATGTTTTTTGATTGCTCCTTTTTGCTCTGTTGCCACTTTGAAATATGATGCAATCTTTGGCCAGAGAGCTTTTCACGTTGCAGACTGTTGTGTTTTGAAATATGTTACTTGTTAGTTCTCCCACTAACAGTCTTTCATACTGTTCATCTGAGCAGATGCCAGTGATCTCGACAGTGTCAGCCATGGCAGTCTGGACAGCTCTAACGATTCGGCGGAGCGAGTTTCCATTGATACAGACTTCACTAAAATGGATTCCAGTGATGACAGATCCAGCACAGGTACCCGGTCTGCTTTCAGTCTGTCTGTGTTCTCGTTCCATCATCAGTTCTCCACTGCTCTCAGCACAACAGGACGTGCTTCTCTCTCTTTCAAACTCTAGGAGAGTCATTATTTTTGACTGTGGGAGTGAAAAGACATCTCTCCCTCATTTTTTTCTCGCTTTTACTCTTTTTTTCAAGCACACATTAGTATAACACATTTGGTGCAGTGAACAAAAGCATTACGCCCATTCACATGCCCCCTCAGATGATCCAAATGAATTTTGAATGCAAATTCCAAAACAAAAATATCAAGTTTAATGCAAAAAAATCAGGTTTAATACAGTGAATGGTTTCATTATGCAATACACTACTGTTTAAAGTTTGGGGTTTGTACTTTTTTATATATATATTTGACTCTCTTATGGTCGCCAAAGCTGCATTTATTTAATCAAAAACAGTTAAAACAGTAATTTCTATTTCAGTGTGTTTAGAAATGTATTTTGTCCTGTGATGACAGCTAAATTTTCAGCAGCCATTACTTTACATTTTCATTGTCAGATGATCTTTGAGAAATCATTATAATATGCTGTTTTGGTAATCCAGAAACATTTCCTATTGTTGTCAATGTTGAAAACAGTTGTTGTTTAAATTTTTTGTGGAAACCATGATACATTTTTTTCTGGACACTTTGCTGAATGGAAAATTCAAAAGAACAGCATTTATTTTAAAAACAAATCTTTGGTAACATTATAAATGTCTTTACTGTCCCTTTTGATCAAATTAATGCATCTTTGCTGAATAAAAGTATTAAATTATTATTTTTTTAAATCTTACTGACCCCAAACATTTAAACAGTAGTATACAACGTTTTTGCAGGATCTTTAAACTGAGATCGGTCTGGCAATCATCTCCATACCCTCGTGCCACTTATAAGAGTTATCAAAGGATACATATTTTTTGTTGTTGCATTTGTCCATAGAATGAAAGTCAATATGGTTCAAAACAGCATTAGACCCCATTAATGTTCATTACACGACCAAAAAAAATAAAAATACTGTACACCTTTGTATTCCGCAGAAGGAAAGTAATGAAATTAAAAGAAATGAGAGGGACTGCAGTAGGTGCCTGACACCCATGTCTGAGAATACGTTAAAAGACAGAGAAGAAAGCCCCTCTATATTTTCGAACAGCTTTTTGAAGCATTCTAAAGCTATAGGCGGTGATGCCCATGGAGGAGATCTGAGAGATGTACAGTTTGACAGAAGAGACTCTCAGATACTGAGCACTTGTAGCAGGAGTCTGACTGAGGAGGCGAGAAAGGAAAGAAGGAATGACTAATGGTGTTATTTTAGCTCACCTCTGGAGGCAGTACTATGATGTGAGCTTTATGCCCCATCAGCTTTCTCGGTGTGGCTCAGAAGCAGCCACCCTGTGAGTGTCTGTCAGTGTGTTTCTGCCCTATTATGGTATATGAGAGAGTAAATCAGTGCTCCTTTTTGATGTTATGTTATCATGCGTTATGATGTGCTATGCTAAAATTACTTTGTTTGAAACCGTTCTCCTAAGAGTCTCTCTATCCAGCTGCATCAAATCACCCAAAATCCCAAAAGTAATGCTGAAAGTATGCAATACAGATTTGTGAGACATGAAAAAGACCTTATTAGTGCTGCAAAACATCTCTCTAATATTATTATTTTATAAGGATATTTTTTTGTGCACACTGTTATGTTTTGCACCGTTTTTTAGGGGTGTTTCTATGTACTGTTTCATTCCAGGTGGTCAGTCTGATCAGGGCTATGATTCTCTGTCTAAAGAGGAGGTGAGGTTAGGAGGAGGTGAGGAGCAGAACTCTCCAGACATGAAGGAGAAGAAGGACAACTCTTGCCCATGTGAGTAACACAGAATGCTTTTGTCCTTAAACATAAACAGGATATGTTCACTATGGCGTACTACTATATTACTCATTCTACAGAATTTGAGTAAAATCCTAAACAAATGTTTTTATTTAATAATGGTTGTCACATGCAGAATAGTGACAGTAACATTGTAAATAAATGCTTGTTCTTTTGAACTCTCTATTCATCAGACATTCCTGAAAAAAAATATATCATGTTTCCCACAAAACTATTAAACAGCACAACTTTTTTTTCAACACTGGTAATACATAGAAATTATTCTTGAGCACCAAATCAACATATTAGAATGCTTTTTGAAGGATCATGTGAAACTGAAGATGTCACCTGAAAATTGAGCTTCAGCTTCATCACCGCAATAAATTACATTTCAAAATATATTGCAATACAAAAGTTATTTTAATCATTTTAATAACAATTGTAATAACTTTTTACAGTATTACTGTTTTTGAGCAAATAAATGCAAATTTGGTAAGCATAAGAGATTTATTTCAAAAACAAACTTTTGAACAGTATGCTATTATATTTCTAACATTTCAAGTTATATAAATTAACAATTATGAACAAACATGAATTAGCAATGGACAGTTGTATACTTATAAATCAGATTAATGAATACTTAATGAATGTTGTTCATGGTCATTTCATGATACCTATTTCATTAACTAATGTTTTGAATAAAATCATATTGTTAAGTGTTGCCCTATATAGAATTTACTGCACAGTAAGCAGTAAGCAATACACTAGTATTTGATTACAAATATGAGTTGCACTGAACACCTCTATGCTTCCGCCTAGTGGTAAAGTGTGGCACTGCCAGTTATTCAATTATTTTTTTGATATGCTTCATTTTAACAAGTGTCTCCTTGTTTTTCGTCTCATTTCAATGTTCAGTATCCCAGACTGTACTCTCAAAGAAAGAGGATTCATCTCTTGTGGTTGGGATCCATCCATCTGCAACCAATGAAGAAACCAGTAATGTCTTTTCTGAAGTCCTTCCAAAGACAAAAAGGCCAAACTCCCTGGATATTTTCGGAGACAAGCCCGTAAGGCCAAGCACAGTAAGAGAACTCAGTAATGAATCTGTTCCAACATTGATAGAAACGGAAGCAGTGTGGGGCATTGTGAGCCCACCTAAAGTTGCCGTGGAGAGGACTGCTAGCTGCACGGTTACCATGGAGAAGAGAGTTGCCATGGAGAGGGAGCATATCAGCGTGGAGAGGAGTGTGAGCTGCAGCAGTGCTCTTGGGCAAGTGGTTAAGAGGACCGGTATCGAAGCAGGTTTTGATCCTCTGTCCCTCATGGCGGCTGAGACTCAAGCCCACAGTGAGGGCGATAATGCAGACACCCCAACCGCCCATCGAGACCTGGCTGAAGAGATTCATCACTACATGAACAACCTGAGCAGCCCGTTAAGCCAGCGGTCTCTCAGTGTGGACCTGAAGGGGCGTCAGACCCCATCCCCTCACAGCTCTCCCCGCATGTCCGCAGCGCTCAGCTCCCCCAGCACCTCCCAACTCCAGCCTCAGCCACGAACAAGACTCTTCTCGTCGCCCTCCCTCCCTCAGGGCCGTGTGCGCAGGGTCAGGGAACAGCGGCCCACCTCTCTGGCCTCACCTTCCTCACCTATTCCCTCCTCTTCTTTCTCCATGGACTCCTTGCTCACCCCGACCCTGGACGTGTTCAAGAGCAGCTTTCTCTCTGCTGGGAAGGGCGTCGCTGAGAAAGCCAGCCGACTGTATTCGCGACTTTCCTCTCAGTCGTCCATTGCACAGGTATGTATGATGTTTTGGAGCTTCTTACTTTCTGATAATGAAGGCCTTGTCTTTGTCTCTTCACATCTATTTCTCATCCTCACCAGGACTTAAATTCTGACCGGGTCAGTGTGTCCTCTCTGGGGTCAGGTGACCCTGATTGCTCCTCTCTGATTGAGAGTGATTCCTGTGTAGACCCCGATGGGCTCACTTCCCCACAACGGGATACCACTCAGCCTGTCACATGTCCCAAAAGGAGCCCTTACAGGAGCAGCCACTGCCTAGAAAGCCCATCTGCACCACGTCGACTTTACCGCCAGTCCTCGCTAACTGGTGCGTTTGCAGGATTCACTGTTCACTACACTCCTGAAATAACATTTATCTAAATGCCAGACGCTCATGCTAATTTCATCCTACATTTTCATATAGATGTATCCAGACACTGTGCATTGCATTAATTAATTGGAATTTGTTTTTTAAATACAACTGATAAAATTATTCCCTATTACCTCACAGAAATTAAATGGGTGTCTTGAGACAAAGTGAAAATAAAATAAATAAAAGCATAAAATAAAATATACAATTAAACAATTTAACACATAAACACATTTTTTAAAAGTACAATAATTAAATGATTTTATTACTGTATATTACTGATTTATTTTGCTTTCTAATGACTAGTTTGAAATTATGACATTTTGTTATATGGACAGTTCAAGTTTTTAATCATAATACATTGTTTATCTATGTAAGGTTTTATGAAAAACTTGTGTTGTTGTATTTTTCTAGGGAGTTAATCTTGATGACCGTTGCATTCAAATAATAATTTACTAATTTTACTGTAATTTCAATATAAAAATGGATTATTTAATTTTGTTATTTAATTTAAACTTGTTTTTACAATTTCATGCTTGATATTTATCTCACACAATTGTCAATGTGAAATACCTGGCCTCTGTAATAAGCAAAACAAAAGAGTGACCCACACTTTTTTTTAGTTCTGGGTTTTCTAGACAGAGAATTGAGGACATGAGGTTGAAGTGAGCAAACTTAGTAAAGTGGCAAAAATTACCTACCACATCTTTAATATTGATAAATAATGTACATTTTAAATGGCTCCTGTTCGGGCAAAACTTTGTGGTTTCTCCTGAATAACATAGGCTAAAAATAAATTACCCATCAAGCTCTCCCATGAGTAATGCTCATTATTTTCTGGTCCTTTGTTAAGATTACAATGTTGTACAATTAGAGAACCAAAGAAAGAGAAGGAGCTATGTTTAAATGCATGTAAATGAGTGATAATTCTAATTGTGAAGAATTCTATTGTAAAGATTAACTTATTTGTAGCTTTTCCGGGCCATTATGCATGATGCTTTTGGTGGGTGATTAAGCTTGTTTTTGCATATGGAGTGCTGTGTGTCGTTCATGAGGCTGGTCATTGTTTCTGCTCCAGCAGCTGCAGAAGGCCAGTAGACAGGGCTGTGAGTGTGTCTGGCTCTGCAGTAATGGGGTCTGAGAAGGGCTCTTTAATCAGGCTGATGGGGGTTGTGTTGGAGTGCTCCCCAATCACTCACATCCGCATACACACTCTTCTCCCAGACTTCTGTAGAGCTTCTCTCCTCATTCAGCGCCATCAGAATTAGCATTCATAATCCCTGCAGGCAATCACCTTGAAATGCGACTTGTTTTTGGAGAAGATTGCTCTCTGATGAAAAACATCATCTTTTCAAAGCTCCTTTTGCTGCAGAGAGTGACTTTTGTTTTGTCTTTTGTCCTTCAGGTCCATCGTTGTCAGTAATGAAAGCTCTGCAGACCCCAGACGCGTGTTCTGATTCCAGCCTTTCTCAATCCATGCAGAACTACGCTGTTGAAGTGAGTTTTTCTTACTTTTTTGAATGACGCATATGTTGAAGTATTACTGTAGCAGGAGTTATTGTGGCTAACTTTGTTTGACTTTCTAGGTACGTATGTCCAGTTGTTCGCGCTGTAACACCTGTGAGAGTTTGGTGTATGATGAAGAGATCATGGCTGGTTGGACAGCTGACGATTCTAACCTCAATAGCACGTGCCCCTTTTGCGGCTCTCCGTTTCTGCCTCTGCTCAATGTGGACATCAGAAACCTGGGTGACCAGGAAAGGTAATTAAGTCTGCAACCACACAATAGACATTTCTATTGAGATATTCACCATTTCAAACAGTTTTCTTGTGTATTTTATCAGATCTCCCTCTCAAGATGCACATACTTGCCAGACAGACACCACAGATGAACTACCACAAGTTTATGACGCCACTGGCAATCTATCCAGCAATGGCAAAAAAGGCCCTGTAAGAATATGTTCCTCAATCTACAATTCATTACATTTCAGTGTTTCAGAATAATATTTTGTATGCATCAGATCTTTATTATGGTATTTATAATGATATGTAATGAAATGTACCATATTTTCTGGAATATAAATTGCAGATAATCTGAAACGTGCAGTGATTTACATTCCAAAGCAACTTATATAATGCAGTAAACGCAGTGCCGATCCTGGACTTCTGGGAGCCCTACGCAAAACTGTGTTGGCGGGCAGGGTGGAGTGGGGTATGAGTGGTTATGAACGAATGAATGAAATGCATTTGTCCGTGTTTCACTCCGTCTCGAATCACGCTCGCAGAAAGCGCTCGAGAAACAGTGTCTCTTCTGCGGCTCTATACGCTTTCAACTCGTTTTTTTACTCTCGAGCAAGACTGTACGACATTCACATTACATGATTTGACTGATTTTTATATAGAAAGGGCGACAGTGCACCAATTTAAAAGAAATGATCATTCATGTTTTCATAACCGCTGGCTAAATTCAAAAACAAACTAAAATTAAATCATCTTTGAGAGCAAGGAGGCCCCCTGGTGTTTCGGGGGCCCTACACAGCTTGCGTATTTTGCGTATAGGGAGTCAATGTCAAGCATGCAATAAATGTGCAAAGCACACACATTTGATTTAATGCCAAATGAAAGAGGTACTTGAGCCAAAGTGCATTTCCCACATGCCGGTAGTTCCAGTTTTGCTTTAAATAAATTGTTTAGGCTTGGTGTTTATAATAAATTATGTTTAAAATGAATGCCACTATCATTTATTTTAGTTTGTTTTATAGTTAGATTTTTTTTATTCCTGTACTTTTCAGAATGGCGTTAAATTTATTATATATTTATTGTAAAGTAAAGGGAACTAAAATACATGTTTTTTTTTGTTTATAATGTTTGTAAACATTTAGTTTTATTTAATGGTATTTTACATTATTTCTGAATAATATGTGACTTATACACAGATGCAACTTATGTGTGCTTTTTCTCTCAACACTGCGATTTTGACCCGGTGCAACATTATTTCCCAGAAAATTTGGTATTATGTAATATCTAATATGTCTGTGGCTTAAAAGTTTGTTCAGTTGATTATGCTGGTAGTTATTTTAGTGTTTCTGTGCTGCAGGAGCCAGTTACCATGCCCTACCTGAGTCCTCTGGTGCTTTGGAAGGAACTGGAAAGCTTGCTGGTGAACGAGGGCGACCAGGCCATCTCGTCTGCAGCCATTGTGGATCACCACCCTATTGTGTTCTGGAATCTGGTGTGGTTTTTCCGTAGGCTGGACCTGCCCAGCAGCCTGCCGGGCCTCTATTTGAGCTCCAAACACTACTGCAGAGATTCTCAGGTGGGTCTCAAGAATTCTCACATGATGTACCTCTTCCCATTTGTGTTGGAATTTAAGAATAATTGTAAATGCATAGAAGCTGTTGGTGATGCCGCTGTATTTCTCATTAACAGCTTGCATAAATATTATTGATTTTTTTTTCTGCAGCCTCTGCAAAGTTGTGCATCAGAGGACAGTAAAAATGTCTTGGTCCAGATCCTGTGGGACAATCCCAGACTGCATCAGGACCACATCAAGCCTTGCTACTTGCTCTGGAAATCATATTGTAAGAAGATGATACAAATATATATATAAACTCATTTACACACTGAAAAGTGTGCTTTATGACTGTAAATGTGCATGAAAGTGGTTCTGGGACAAATATTTGCAACATATTATCCTGTTGGTGCTACGGACATGAGTTATGCCTCAAACCATGAGGCTTAAGTGTGGCATTATTTTTCTATAGTAATCAGACTTGCAAGTTTTGCCTGGTGGATGAGAAAATGTGTGGGAAAAAATCTTTTAGCCCTACACTGGAGAAGGAATCAGAGATATATTTAGGTGCTCGAATATCAGAGAGTGGGCTCTTTTTACCTAGCTGTGTTATTTTGGTATTATTTATATTATTATTTATGTTCTACTATAGCAGATTTATATTTAAAATTCTACTATTATATGCATTTGTCATTTTTATTTATTTTTTAATATTTATCTTTATTTCAGTTATTAATTTTTGTAATTATAGTACTTCAACTTTAAACATATTTATTTCAATTAGTTGACAGGGAAACAGCTAATTGTTTTTTTAATTTAAGCTTTTTATTAGGGCTGTCAAATGATTAATCGTGATTAATCGCATCTTAAATAAAAGTTTGTGTTTACATAATATATGTATGTTTATTATGTATATATAAATAAACACACATGCATACACACACACATATTATGTAAACACAAACTTTTATTTTGGATGCGATTAATCGTTTAACAGCCCTACTTTTTATCTAATATTTATATTATATATATATTTCTAATATTATTTGAGCTTTATTTAAATTATTAAAAAAGATTGTAATAGTTTTACTTAACCACCCAGAACACCCTAACAACTGCAAATTGAAATTTTAACAAAAACTACTAAATGTACTTAAACCCCCTCAAAACACTTCAGCAGCTGTGGCAGTAGTTTTGCATCCATCCGTGTGCCAGCCATCTACTTCATACTGGGGTCGTGTTTTTTAACAGGTGCAAATCCTGCAGCATCTGAGGAGGAGGAGCAGGCTGTGAGCTTAGAGCTGCTGCAGAGTGTCGTGAAGAGCATCCAGAGGAACGATATCTACCAGCCCATGAGTCAGATACTGCAGCTACTGGGCACCAAACTGGGCTTCGTCAGACAACGGTAGGAGAACAGTGTAAAGTGTTTAAATGAAATGCAGAAACTGTTTTAATAAACATTTTGAGAAGCTAATCTTAATTACTAATTTTTCTTAATTTTGTCATATGCAGGAGCTTATATAGAGATATCCTGTTCCTGTCTTTGGTGGCTTTGGGCAAGAATAGCATAAATATCGGTGAGCTGACTGTTTTGATAATGTGTTATACTACTGTTTCAAAGTTTGGGTTCAGTATGTTTTTTTTTTTTATGTATATATACTTTTTTTAATACTCTTATTCAACAAGGACACATTGGACACATTACATTGTTACAAAAGATTTTAATTTAAAATAAATGCTGTTCTTTTTAACTTTCTATTCGCCATAGAATCCTGAAGGAAATGTAGCACTGTTTCCACAAAAATATTAAGCAGCATAACTATTTTCAACATCCATAATAATGAGAAATATTTCTTGATCAGCATATTAGAATGATTTCTGAAAGATCATGTGACACTGAAGACTGGAGTAATGGAGTAAAATTTTGAATTAACATCACAGGAATAAATTACATTTTAAATTATATTAATATATAAAACAGTTATTTTAAATTGTAAAAATATTTCACAATATTACCATTTTTATGCAGCCTTGGTGAGCATAAGAGATGTACTGAACTGTAATGTTCATGAACTGTAATGTATGTCTATGAAACCACTGAATGTGAGCACTAGCGTGCGTCATTACTAACATCTTCGTTTATTTTCACAGATGCATTCGACCGTGAATACAAAATGGCATATGACCGTTTGACGCCAAGCCAGGTTAAGATGACCCACAATTGTGACCGGCCACCCAGTGCTGGAGTCATGGAATGCAGGAGAACCTTTGGGCTGCCCAGTCTCTGATTCACCTCCTCTCATTCCTCCCTCTTTCCTCACATCCATCACACAGGAAGTCTCATCCAAAGAAGCAACACTTTCATTCATGTGATCCTGAACATTCATCGTAACCAAAGCTACCTCTGGCTCCCATGAGGTCTCTTTCAAATCAAATGCTGTCTGTTATGTGACTGTTCTTCTTCATACACTTCCTGTGAATACGCCACTTTATAAAGTCCGTGATCATGTCTTTTTCTTGCATTTCTCCCTCAATTTTGCTCTTCCATCTGCCTAATGTCTTGACCCTCAACCCCTTTCGGATACTTGGAGTCACATTTGAATCATCTAGCACCACTCAGGTTCAGTAAACTTGAGTATAGAGGTTATTGTAGATTAGGAGCAATACCATTGTGCTCAGGTCATTCCATCGCTCCATTCGTTCACGTCCAGTGAATCGTGGAGTGGATTCGGGACCAGTAGCTATAGAACAATCAAATCGATCACGTTTAGGATGCGTAGAAGCACAACGAGCAACCCTGACAAACACAGTCCGCTTTTGGCCTTCTAGGGGCACTTGTATATTTCACGTACAGAGAGACTTTGTGTACATAGTCTTATTATTTTGCATATTTGTATTATACAGTTACATTTTAAGACTGGAATTTGTTATAACTGATGTGTCTCCATTTGTAAAGACTATGCTGTTCGTAGTGTATAGGTTTCTCTTTTGAGCGTGTGCTGTTTGTCGTCCTGGTCCTGGAGACCAGTCGTATGGTGACCGTCAGTGACACTGTCGTCTTGAGGTACAGAACTGGACCAAATATAAAATCTTGACTCACAGGTGATAAATATATTTGATCAGATTTTGAACTGAGAAATTCCTTACCTTGGGGCGAAGAACAGTACGGAGACAAATTTACAACAGGGTATAAAGAGTAATATAGTGAGTATAAAATAAAATGGACTGTTAATGTGAATGTGAAGTCAGCATTTTACACCCACTTACATAATCCAGTATGTTTGCCATGAAGGTACATAATTATTTATATATATATATATATATATTTATTTTATTTTATTTTTTTTAAACATTGCTTTATATTGTGCAGTGTTGCATAAACATGGGTTTCATTTGTCGAGATGCATAAAACAAAAGTATCTGAAGCATGCAAGCACTTATTTACTCAGTTCAAACTCTTTACAAATTAAACATGCGGTAACTGGATCCGTTATATTTTAATACTGTTAATTTTTTATCATTATGTTAATGAAGATGCACTTTGAGTGTGTGTGGTTGGGAAGAGGATTACTAAAGTTTAAATGTTTAAAATGCAATGGATTATGGAAAAGATAATAATACATGTAATTATACACAATGACACATTGATGTTAATGCCCCAAGTGGAAAAAAAACAGATAATACTGCCCTAAACATTTTGGGATGAAAAAAAACTATTGACCTGATGCTGTGTAAAACTACAAAAAATGCAGTTTTCACTGCTGTTAATATTTAGCAGTTTTTCTATCACCTGCTTTTTACATCCATATGGTAGTGAAACAAACTGACCTATTTCATGGAAATGGTTTATTTAAAGCGGTTAATGTGTAAGGTGATTCATTTTGGGTTTTTTTTGTTCGTTTTTTTTAACAAATCATTTTGTTAGGGCAATGTGCTTTACATATCACTCCTTTTGTTACTTCTATTTATATTTGTATATATCATTTAGTCAGATCTGAGCCAGGTCTATAAAATTGTTTAGAACTGTAAATAAACACTTAAATCGACTCCAGTGTGTTTGTGTTGGTGTCACTCGTTTGTTTTCGATGAAACAGAGGGAGGAAAAGTCACATTTGAAACCCCATTTAATTTTGCACTGAACCAACAAATGAATATTTACAATGAGCAACTCTCAAGAGAGAAATCAACACTGTAATATTTGAAAAAAACAATCCTTGACTCTATTCAGTAGTGAATTCAAACGGCAGTGTGACATTTGTATGGAAATTCACAACTGTTTTTATCAGAATCATACTGATTACATTAGACTTTGTAAAGAAGTCTTGTTATATGCTTGAGATTCTACTTTTATGATGGAAAAAAAAAATCATATCTTACATACAGCACAAGATCTGCATTTAAAACGCTTGCTAATGACATTTTTCCAAGTTACAAAAATCCGTTGCAGAATGATTAAATTGCATCATTTACAATAAGCTCACAATTTCTCCCAATGTAGTCCCATAGCTATCTGAAAACCCACAACATCAAATAATACAATCACAATAAAAAAAACACACTTTCTTTGTTGTGAAATGCAATTTTTCATCATTGGACAAAATTAAAGCAACATTTCGACTTTTCACCAGGTTATAATTTTTGAGATTTTGTGTCTTGGTATCATCCCAATAGAACTAAATGGTTAAATTGCATCACAAATTAAGTGAGAGTTTTCCATATTTAGTACACTGTGGTCCTGTCCTAAATGGCACACTTGATGTGGCCTTTAATTATGCAATCAGAATCATATTGTGCTTGCCAAATCCACAGTGCAGTAGGGTGTCTTTTGTCATTTTATGGTTCAAAAGGGTGCTCAAGAGTGCCTCTGTGTGTGGCCTCAATGTGCCCTTTTGCAAAGCTCACACTGGTGGGCAAACACAGCAGTCTACACTCAACAATCTACTTGGCATTACATCACCAAAGTGTGGATACCAAAAATGGAGACCATTTGGGACAGGGCCTGTGACTCTTCTGTGTCATTACTGCATTCATTTTAATGTAACAAGCCAAAAAAGGAGACCAAAAAAACTAGTGTCCGTAACAGTTAACAGAGTTTGGAAATTATGTCCAGTTATTGCATCCCTTTACAAAAGAACTTGTGTAATACAGAATAAGTCAACAGTGAGTCCAGAGATGCTTCAAATATGATACATTATGTATGAAGTTACAGTTCAGAACGTTTCAAAAGACAGGACTGTATCCACGGGTTTGCTCAGATGGACACAGGACATATAATGATTCGATCCTCTAGCATGACACTGAGCACCAGGAACACAAAGTAGAGGATGAACATGATGAATCCCAACACTTTATTCATCCTCCACTTACAGGCAGCGATGGAGATAATGACGAAGAGGAGCATGAGGAAGAGCATCACAATGGCACAGAACAGCCCATTACTGCTCACGGGCACCGGTGCCAGGGAATGGCAGAATGAGTACATCAGCCAGGGCACGGGCAGCCTGTAACCATCAGAGGGGATCAAATTAAGCTGAAAACAAGTGGTTTGGTATGTAGCCTATTCATACCAACAATATGATTGTGAGTGTGATATTGCTAAATAAACAGCAGTTTAAAAACAAGTTATTATTCAGTAACTTACATTTAAGACACAATATTGCCAGCTACTTGGTCTACTTTTGCCATTTGAGTTCAGAAATCGCATACTCTCTGCGTAGGTACTTCTTTTAAATAAGTAAATACTTTGTGACTTCTAAAAAAGTATGTTCTATATATTATGAATGTGTATGTGTGTCAGATGCCATTCAAACTGTAAATCCTCTCCCGTAATCTCATGGGATAGCAAAGTGTCCACTGGATGCGCACTTCTGAATCTCACTGTAAGTAGCAAGCTAACCAGGTCCTTTTCACCTACTGTTTTGTTAAGACTGTGAATTCGGACATACTACTCTTTTCACACAAAGTTCTTCACCTGCTATATAGTAGGAAAGTATGTGATTTTGGAGGCAGCTAGTTACTTCATCAGAATCAGAGCTGTTGAACAAATCGGTTGAGCAAATGATCTAATGATTCACTCAAAAAAAAAAATCACACATTTTGTTCCCGAACAAATTAGTGTTGTTAAATGAATCGGTTCAGTGGTTATAGAGCTAAACTCTTGCTGCCAACTACTGGTGAAACTATGTAACCTGCAGAAAGATTGACTGAAAAATCCCTACCACTACACAAACTGACAATTCTGTACATGTACATGAAGCAGGCAGTTAAGATTGTGGCTGACCCCTCTCACCCTGGACACAAACTTTTCGAGTCACTTTCCTCTGGCAGGAGACTGCGGTCCATCAGGACCAGAACTTCATGCCCAGGGCCGGATTATGACGCAGTGGTGCCCTGGACATGGACCAATGTAAATCACATTCGGGGGGAGGGTTGTGGGTCCCCCTCAGTTGAAATCGCCTTCTGGGGAGTGACCCCCTCGGTTGAAATTGTGTTCATATTATTATTATTAGTAGTAGTAGTAGTAGTAGTTTTGATTAAGGTTGGAGCTGAACTTTGCAGGACAGTCGATCGCCAGGAGAGGGTTGGGCACCCCTGCTCTAGAGGGCACATAACTCTGAAGTAATGAATTTAGGTAAAGGGGTGCAGAGCCAGTGGTGGTTTTGTAGGCAAACATTAATGCCTTGAATTACTACTAGTAGTAGTATTCATTCTTGTATTTGATTGTCTTTGTTAAGCACCAATACATCAAGACAAATTCTTTGTACATGTGTACCCACAGTCCTTGGTAATAAAGACAATTCTGATTGTGATTCTGAACCGTCTGAAATGCAAACACAAACCAGTGGTGTGAACACAAACAGTGGAAAGTGCCAGTGTTCAGCCAGTGAAAGTGATTTTGTGCCTCTTTGAGATGGCACAATAATACACCGTTCACTTGCAGAACGCAAGCCTCTAGAGCAGGGGTGCCCAACCCTCTCCTGGCGATCAACTGTCCTGCAAAGTTTAGCTCCAACTCTAATCAAACACACCTGATTAGGATATTAGGTAAAGATCATGTTCCATGAAGATATTTTGTACATTTCCTACCGTAAATATATAAAAACTTAATTTTTGATTAGTAATATGCATTGCTAAGAACTTAATCTGGACAGATTTAAAGGTGATTTTCTCAGTATTTAGATTTTTTTGCACCCTCAGATTCCAGATTTTCAAATAGTTGTATCTCGGACAAATATTGTCCTATCCTAACAAACCATACATCAATGCAACGCTTATTTATTCAGCTTTCAGATCTCGATTAAAAAAACATTTACCCTTATGACTGGTTTTGTGGTCCATGGTCACATTTGACAAAAACTGTGCATATCATTTCCAGCTACCAAACACCTGATTCATTAAATATTTAAAGTTTCTGTTGTCTTACCCCATGGTGATGTCAAATATATTGCTGCCTACAGAGCTCGAGACAGCCATGTCTCCCAAGCCTTTTCGAGCCACAATCACGCTGGTGATTAGATCAGGAATGGATGTGCCTGCAGCCAGAATGGTGAGACCCATGATTTCCTCAGAGATGCCAATGGTCTCACCCACCTAGGAGAGAAATTCTTTATGAATGATTGCTTGTTTTGATATTTTATTTGCTAATGTAATGACATTTAAGTGTGGCTTAAGTGTTCAAATACTTTTAGAACCACAAATATTGGTTTCTACACTGACCTGATGTGCCCACCACACCATAAGATAGGAAAATATAGCAATCCATACTATTGAGCCAAGGAAAGTAATGACAAAGAACTTTTTGGATGCCTGTTAAGCACAATACAAAATAATATATATGTTAGTTCTATCAAAAGTGACAGAAATATACAAGAAAACATTACTAATGTGATGTTTTGTTTTGGTTCTCACAGGGTTTCTGACATCTGGAACTGTCAGCCATAGAGGAAAGACAATGGGCAACAGAAACAAATATGTGGCCTGTTTACGTCTGGTCTCTGGCCACTCTAAGGACAGAGGTTCGTCATTTTCTCCTTCCTCCCCAGCCTCATCCTCATTTTCATCATCTTCATCACTGTCTTCATCGCTGTCTTCATCACTGTCATCTTCATCATCATCTCCCGAATCATCTGAACCTCCTGGTTTCTCTGAGCCTCCTCCTGCTGCAGTGTCTCCTTCCTTAAGACAGAGCAAGAAAGAGACCGTTGAAAACATAATACCCTCACAGATTAAAAGGAGAACAACAAACATAAAGCAATAATTTACCCCAAAATAAAAGTTTTTGTATGATTTACTCACACTCAGTTCCTAAACCTACACGACTTTCGTACGGCTTGTTCTTTTCCATGCAACTATAATGAATGGGGACTGGAGCTTTCAAGCTGCAAAAGCACAATAAAAGTAGCTATATATAGCTTCATTCATTCACATATAATCTTCGTCTCCAGCGAGCTGTTAACCCGAAAACCGTTATGAGATGAACTCGAGTACAGTCCGAATTGTGATTGAATCATTCAGAATTGAATTAATTAATTAATTGTTACTTCTCAGATGAACACATCATGGAGAATAACACAATCAGTTTACAGTGCTTTTCAAGCTTGAAAGCTCCAGTTCTCCTTCATTATAACGGCACTCCAGTACATTCTTCAACACTTCTTTTGAGTTCCACAGATGTAAGGAAGTCATGACATCAGGGTGAGTAAATGATGACAGACTTTTCATTTCTGGGTAAATATGAATCACATACTATGTATTACAGATCGCCTCTGTCAGCTTTGCAACAAGGTAAAGAATTGATAAGTTCATTAAAAGCACACAAGTGTCTCAGAGCTCCTCCTTCTTCTTCCCAAATGTTTTCGAGAAGCAATAGGCCCACCTTTTGCGCCTCAGGCTTTTGACTAGCGTCTTCTTTCTTGGCTCCTGGA